TCCAATCATTGGATGATCGGAGTAATCGCATCTGATTATTCCGATCATTGGATGATCGGAGTAATCGCATCTGATTATTCCGATCATTGGATGATCGGAGTAATCGCATCTGATTATTCCGACCACCCAATGATCGGAGTAATCGGATCCGATTATTCCGATCATCCAATACAATCGGACTTGTAGTATTCCGATCATTGGATGATCGGAGTAATCGCATCTGATTATTCCGATCATTGGATGATCGGAGTAATCGCATCTGATTATTCCGATCATTGGATGATCGGAGTAATCGCACCTGATTATTCCGATCATCCAATGATCGGAGTAATCGGATCCGATTATTCCGATCATCCAATACAATCGGAATTGTAGTATTCCGATCATTGGATGATCGGGGTAATCGCATCTGATTATTCCGATCATTGGATGATCGGAGTAATCGCATCTGATGTTTTTTTTTGTGTTCACGGTCGTTGGAGATCGGTGTATTCGCATGCTTATGATTTCGTTCATTTGATGATGGTGTAATTCCGATCTTGATTATTCCGATCATTGGATGATCGGAGTTATTCGCATCTGATTTTTCCGTTCATTGGCAATGATTCGGAGTAATCGATCGATTATTCCGGAATTCATTCCTTATACAATCGCGAATTGTAGTATTCAGGATCATTGGTGATCGGAGTAATCGAAATCTGATTAGTTCCGATTCATCCATTTGATAGCCGTATTCGGTTCGATTTTTCCTTTTGCCCAATACTAATCGGATTTTTGTAGTTATTTTTTCCGATTCCATTGGCTGATTCGGAGTATTCGCATCTGATTTTTCCGATCCCGAGGGGCGCAGCGAAACGTCGCCGGTTTTTGTTGAAACATTCATTAGATTAATTCTAAAGAATAATTATTGTTGGGGCCCCTGGTGCGCGCCCCCCCCGCCGCGCCTAGGCCGCAGCCACATTTTCATCATTTTCGTGAGGAAGTCTCAGGCAAAACGGGGTATACCAGATCCGGTTGTTTTGTAGACGCCCGCTTTCCCTTGCAAAACAATAAGCAAAGTGGACATTTCTTGTTCTAACATGACCAAACTTCAAGAATCCCTTGCAAAAAATGACACGAAGTGCACATTCGCGCGCGCAAGACGAAATCCTTCCAAAACCTTAGTCTTCGTAGCGATTTTCACATAAAAACATGAAAAACCCAATGGTTTTTCAAAAAAAGGGTTTCAAACATTCACCCCGCGCGCTCTTGCGGATTTCTTAGGAAACCCAATACTTTTTCAACATTTCTGTCAAACGGGCTCTTGCGAGCAACTTTTTCACGTGCTTCGAACTTCTGCAACAAAGGTTGCGCGCCTGCCAGGGCCATCATCCCTGTCAAATAATACCATGTGGGACACATTCGTTTTTTCTTCGCGCGCGCACGCCGAAATCTTCAAACATCATTGGGTTTCTTAGGAATTTTAGCACCGCGCAACATAAAATCATACGAATCGCACCGTAGGTTCTCGAAAAACATCTGTACGAATTTTCAAAATTTCTACCCGCGCGCGCTGTCCGAATCCTTAAAAACCAATGGTTTTTCAACATATGGTATAGAGCTCGCGCGAGCTGTTTTCGCAAGCTCTTTCAACGGCGTTCGCGCGCCTGCCAGGGGCCACAATCCCTTGCAAAAAATATCATGCGGGACACATGCGCGCGTCGTCGCGTCGTCGTTGTCGGCATGGTACCACAACAAGTCAGTGTGTCACCACGTCATCGAACAAAATCACTGTTTACTGTCACGTGTATTTCGTAGACAAATGAGCCAGTATTCCACATTGAGGCCGGAACGACAACCACAGAACAAGAATGAGCATGTATCGTCTCACAACAACGGAAACAAGTCCTGTGGTATGCTGGCGCCACGCACGTGGTACCACTCAAAATAAGTGTCTTCGCTTGTGTGGTACAGAAACGGAAAAACGTCGGAAAACGGTACAGGTGTCCAGTGTTGGAACAGGGGGAAAAGTCGTATACTAAGCTAGCTTCCACAAAATGTTACCACAACAAGTCACTGTACCCATGCGCCAGTGTAGTAGCCAAGGTCGTCCGCAGGCCACGAAGTGAAGTGTCCGAACGTCATAGGGCGGGAAGCTGGGTGTGGGTGGTGGCGAAGAGTCGTTTGGAAATTTGGTAGAGCTTGAACCGGCCCCCCCACAAAGTGGGGGTATTGCCCGCCTCCTATGAAAACCCTGGCACTGGTGAGAACGGAGTGTCCCCAGTCTTAAATGATTGTTGTTGTTGTTGTTGCTGTTGTCGTCGTTGTTGCTGTTGTCTGTTTCGGTCGGTTCCCCGGGGCCGTGTTCGGGCCCTGGGACCGTCAAAAACACAAATCCGGGGTGAAGAACTGCACCAGATGGAGCCCGGGAGGTGTCCGGGAACCGATTTGGAGCGGACTGGGCCCTCCTCCTGTCACCGAGCGCGGCTCTGTTTCCTCGCAAAGTGCCTGCTCGCAAGCG